GATAGGGAAGCTGTGATTTCGTGTATAGGGCAAGGAGGAATAACATCTTGTAGGAGTGAGGAAGAGCCAGTTGTGAGTGTGGGTGAAGTTTGTGAGGCAGTAGGTAAAATGAAAGGGGGTAAGGCAGCTGGGATTGATGGGATAAAGATAGAAATGTTAAAAGCAGGTGGGGACATAGTTTTGGAGTGGTTGGTGCTATTTTTTAATAAATGTATGGAAGAGGGTAAGGTACCTAGGGATTGGCAGAGAGCATGCATAGTTCCTTTGTATAAAGGCAAAGGGGACAAAAGAGAGTGCAAAAATTATAGGGGAATAAGTCTGTTGAGTATACCTGGTAAAGTGTATGGTAGAGTTATTATTGAAAGAATTAAGAGTAAGATGGAGAATAGGATAGCAGATGAACAAGCAAGCTTTAGGAAAGGTAGGGGGTGTGTGGACCAGGTGTTTACAGTGAAACATATAAGTGAACAGTATTTAGATAAGGTTAAAGAGGTTTTTGTGGCATTTATGGATTTGGAAAAGGCGTATGACAGGGTGGATAGGGGGGCAGATGTTGCAGGTGTATGGCATAGGAGGTAGGTTACTGAAAGCAGTGAAGAGTTTTTACGAGGATAGTGAGGCTCAGGTTAGAGTATGTAGGAAAGAGGGAGATTATTTCCCAGTAAAAGTAGGCCTTAGACAGGGATGTGTGATGTCACCGTGGTTGTTTAATATATTTATAGATGGGGTTGTAAGAGAAGTAAATGTGAGGGTCTTGGCAAGAGGCGTGGAGTTAAAAGATAAAGAATCACACATAAAGTGGGAGTTGTCACAGTTGTTCTTTGCTGATGACACTGTGCTCTTGGGAGATTCTAAAGAGAAGTTGCAGAGGTTGGTGGATGAATTTGGTAGGTATGTAAAAGAAGAAAATTAAAAGTGAATACAGGAAAGAGTAAGGTTATGAGGATAACAAAAAGATTAGGTGATGAAAGATTGGATATCAGATTGGAGGGAGAGAGTATGGAGGAGGTGAATTTATTCAGATATTTGGGAGTGGACGTGTCAGCGGATGGATCTATGAAAGATGAGGTGAATCATAGAATTGATGAGGGGAAAAGGGTGAGCGGTGCACTTAGGAGTCTGTGGAGACAAAGAACTTTGTCCTTGGAGGCAAAGAGGGAATGTATGAGAGTATAGTTTTACCAACACTCTTATATGGGTGTGAAGCATGGGTGATGAATGTTGCAGCGAGGAGAAGGCTGGAGGCAGTGGAGATGTCATGTCTGAGGGCAATGTGTGGTGTGAATATAATGCAGAGAATTCATAGTTTGGAAGTTAGGAGCAGGTGCGGGATTGCCAAAACTGTTGTCCAGAGGGCTGAGGAAGGGTTGTTGAGGTGGTTCGGACATGTAGAGAGAATGGAGGGAAACAGAATGACTTCAAGAGTGTATCAGTCTGTAGTGGAAGGAAGCGGGTAGGGTCGGCCTATGAAAAGGTTGGGAGGGGGGGGGTAAAGGAGGTTTGTGTGCGAAGGGCTTGGACTTCCAGGGGGCCCATGCGTGAGCTTTGTTTGATAGGAGTGAGGGAGGCAAATGGTTTTTAATACTTGGCGTGCTGTTGGAGTGTGAGCAAAGTAACATTTATGAAGGGATTCAGGGAAACCGACAGGCCGGACTTGAGTCCTGGAGATGGGAAGTACAGTGCCTGCACTCTGAAGGCGGGGTTAATGTTGCAGTTTAAAAACTGTAGTGTAAAGCACCCTTCTGGCAAGACAGTGATGGAGTGAATGATGGTGAAAGTTTTTCTTTTTCGGGCCACCCTGCCTTGGTGGGAATCGGCCAGTGTGTTAATAATAATAAAAAAAATTAATAATAATGTATCGGGTACCAGATTTATCGGATACTGATAGCATCGCAAACCAGGGGTCCACTGTATTATTATATATATATATATATATATATATATATATATATATAAAATATATATATATATAATATATATATATATAATATATATATATATATAAATATATATATATATATATAATATTAAAGTATATATATATACATATAATACTATAAATATATATACAGTGGACCCCCGGTTAACGATTTTAATCCGTGCAAGAGGGCTCATCGTTAATGCAAATAATCGTTATGCGAATGAATTTCCCCATAAGAAATAATGGAAAAAAAATTAATCCGTGGCAAGACGCCCAAAGATGAAAAAAATTTTTTTTTACCACATAAAAATGTTAATTTTAATACACACAAACTGAAAAAGGCATGCACAATTAAATGACACTTACTTTTATTGAAGATCTGGTGATGATTGATGGGATGGGGGAGGGGAGAGAGTGTGTTTAGTGTTTAGAAGGGGAATCCCCTTCCATTGGGACTTGAGGTAGTAAGTCCTTTTCTGGGGTTACTTCCCTTCTTCTTTTAATGCCACTAAGGGCCAGCTTCAGAGTCACTGGACTTCTTTCGCACAAGATATCTGTCCATAGTGGCCTGTACCTCTCGTTCCTTTATGACTTGCCTAAAGTGTTCACAACATTGTCAGTGTAATAATCACCAGCACGGCTTGCAATAGCTGTGTGAGGGTAAATTTTCATCCATGAAGGTTTGCACTTCAAGCCACTTAGCACAGATTTTCCTTTATCTTTGTAGTAGGCAACTTCTTCAATTTCTCTCTCCCCTCCTCTGAACCAGTTTCCTCGGGTCTGGCCTCTTGCTCTTGAAGTTGATCTATCAGCTCATCAGTGGTTAGTTCTTCATTGTCCTCCTCCACCAACTCTTCCACACCTCCCCACTAACCTCCAAACCCCAAGGACTTTCCCAATGCCAAAATTTGGATTCCTCAACTGGCACAGGATCTCGGGGTTAGCCTCAAACCCTTAAAAATCCCTTTTGTCTACACATTCTGGCCACATTTTCCCTTCCAAGCAAGTTCAAGGTCCTCTTTGTCACTTCCTCCCAAGCCTTACCTATAAGGTTTACACAATTGAGGATATTAAAGTGATCTCTCCAAAACTCTCTTAGAGTCATTGAGTTTCTGGGGTCATTACAAAGCACCTTTCAAACAGAGCTTTTGTGTACATTTTTGAAGTTGGAAATAACCTGCTGGTCCATGGCTGCAGGAGAGGAGTGGTATTAGGAGGCAAAAACTTCACCTTAATGAAGCTCATGTCCCCAAAAGTCGCTCTGCCACGTCTGTAGATGACCAGGGCATTGTCTAACACCAGGAGGCACTTAAGTTCTAATTTCTTTTCAGTTGGGTAATTTTTCACTTTGGGGGGGCAAATGCATGGTGTAACCAGTTATAGAAAAATTCCCCTATTTAAACCCATGCCTTACTGTTTGCCCTCCACAGCACACACAAATTATCCTTGAGGACTTTCTTTTGCCTGAACGCTCGGGGAAGTTTCAGAGTGATACACTAATAAAGGCTTCACTTTGCAATCACCAGTAGCATTGGCACACATCAACAAAGTAAGCCTGTCTTTCATAGGCTTATGTCCTGGGAGTGCCTTTTTCCTCCTGAGTAATGTAGGTCCTGCTTGGCATTTTCTTCCAGAACAGGCCTGTTTCATCACAATTAAACACTTGTTCAGGTTTCAGTCCTTCAGTTTTCTATGTACTCCTTGAATTCCTGCACATATTTTTCAGCCGCTTTGTGGTCCGAACTGGCAGCCTCACCATGCCTTATCACACTAGGATGCCACTACGCTTCTTAAATCCTCAAACCAACCTTTGCTGGCCAAAATTCACTCACTCATCACTAGTTGCAGGCATTTTTTTAATTAAATCCTCATGCAACTTCCTAGCCTTTTCACAAATATGATCGCTTGAGAGACGCTACCCTCCTGCTATCTGTTTTTCATTTATCCACACCAATAAAAAGTCTCTCAACATTTCCATCACTTCGATCTTTGTTTCGAAAAACACAGTTGAACCTTTGGCAAGAACAGCTTCCTTGATTGTCTTTCTGGTGCCCACAATAGTAGCGATGGTTGATTGGGGTTTCTTTACAGTTGACTAGGTCGGCAATACGCACTCCCACTTTCATACTTATCAAATTATCTCTTTCTTCATCTCTATAGTAATTCTTACCCTTTGAGGTTGTAGGGTTGGGCATAGAACTTTCTTGGGGCCCATGGTCACTTATTTTCCAGAAACAGCACCGAAAATACTGTAATAATACGAAATATTCCGAGTGTATGCTGGATGTTACCGCGGAGGCTGGCTGGGAAACAATGGGACGGGGCGGCACATGTGAGGCTGGCTGAGGGCACATTGGACGCGTCTCGGACCCAAAATCGGTAAGCGGGTTTTTAATCGGTATGCGCGGCAAAAATTTTGCGATAAAAGTAATCTTATGCGGAAAAAATCGCTATGTGATGCCATCGTTATGCGGGGGTCCACTGTATAAATATATATATATATATATATATATATATATATATATATATTATATATATATATATATATATATATATCCAGGAGCAAGGGGCTAGTAACCCCCTTTTCCCATATAAATTACTAAATTTAAAGAGAACTTTTGTTTTTCCTTTTTTGGGCCACCCTGCCTTGGTGGGGTACGGGCCGCTTTGTTGAAAAATATATATATATATATATATAAAAATATATATATATATTTTATATATATATAATAATTTATATATATATATAAATATATATATTTATTTATTCCATATTTTTCTTCAAACTTGTTTATATTTGTAAATGTTTTAAGTTTTAAAGTACCATAAAATAAAAGATGATTATTTCCCTTTTATTATTATTACTGGACTTTATCAAGATTAAGTAGATTGCAGTTAGACTACAAGTTGTGCTTGAATGTACTTTTTAGAATCATTGCTATTAAAGTGAATTAGAAAATAACTGTAGTATGGTGCATCAGAACCATCTCACTGAGCTTATAAAAAGAATAAGACTTATTTAGAGTGAAACTAAATGTGTAAACCTTTTATGTAAGCTAAATTTTTTTCCTGTTTTCAGCAGCAATTAGCAGCAGCGCGGGCGTTGCTGCGAGTTTTGGGAGCAGCCACTGCAGAAGGTCGCAAAATTGCCAGAACTGACACTCTGAAACACAGCGTTGCTCCTGGACAGTGTCGGGTAAGTCACTCCGCGTGTTGGTAATGCTTCTCTACAGTATTGCTATAATTCTTTCCTCGAAATGTCATCATATTTCACTACATCTTAAAAGTGCTTCATCTGATCAGCTTCCTCATCCTTGATGCTTCACATCTGGTTGACATCAACATAATCAGTGTTGAACCAGAAAAGGTGGAAACATACACAGTTGTGACATAATGTGATCCTTTATTGTCAACTAGGATGTTATACAGCACTGCATTTGTCTCTCTTAAATCATGTCAGTATTTTATACCATTTCTCTCCTCTAGAAAAGGTATCAGCTTGGATAGCAACCAATAAATTAACATTTAGTAGTGATAAAACCTACTACAGTATGCATCTCTTTTTGGTGTTTCATGTTTTTGTTGGCTTTCAACCGAATCATTGTTCCACCCACTGGTGATTTTTACCAGCAGGTGAAGTATAATAAACAATGGCTCATTTTGAAGCCAACAAAAACATGGAACTTTGTACTACCGCATATTAATAGTAAAGTAAATGAACTTAATTACAAACTTAAAAATAAATGATTGATTGTATCATAAATTGTACTACTTCATATTAATAGTAAGAGTGAAATGTAGAATATTTGTAGTCTACAATTGTAAAAGAACCTAATTTTGTACTTAAAAATGTAAGATTATCTTTAACTGTATTCTACCACTCTTCACCTGTCTAGACTTAAGTACAGTGGACCCCCGGTTAACGAACTTTTTTCATTTCAGTAGTATGTTCAGGTGCCAGTACTGACCGAATTTTTTCCCATAAGGAATATTGTGAAGTAGATTAGTCCATTTCAGACCCCCAAACATACACGTACAAACGCACTTACATAAATACACTTACATAATTGGTCGCATTTGGAGGCGATCGTTAAGCGGGGGTCCACTGTACTAGTCTATAAGTATTAGGTTAAGTCTGCCCGAAATGCCTAGGCATGATAGTGGCTTTCTTTGCTCCATTCATACTATATGTAAACACACATTGTAACCTTAATAAAGAAATAAATATTTTATTTTTATTTTTTAAAAGAGGGTCCTGTATGTGTGGGGCCCTGCTGTATATGTGGGGCCCTCCTGTATATGTGGGGCCCTCCTGTATATGTGGGGCCCTCCTGTATATGTGGGGCCCTCCTGTATATGTGGGGCCCTCCTGTATATATTATTTGGGAAAACAGCTGAAAATATTCAACTAAAGCAAGATAATACACACAATGAAAGATAATTTTTCTGTGTTGTAGCTTGGCTGTCCTCATAGTAATGTCAGAGTTCTTGAGCCAGGGTGGTTGAACAGTCTTGCAACTTGTCCTTTGATATGTCTCTCTCTTATCTGATGCAGCATGATCTTTCAGTGTTGTGATTTATTGACAACTATAGGATACTTTTGTTTTTATACTAACTTTTAAAATATGCACAATTTTTGTATGAAATTAGAAACTTAAATCAAACTTCCTTAATACTGATGCCTTTAAAGCTTATTCCTTTTTTTTTTTTTTTGTTTTTTTTTTAAGAAAATATATTCTCTACTACATGGGAGTAACTCTGACACTGCTAAAGTATCTACAATGGACTTTCAGAAATTAGCAGATAGTTTTGTGTGCTAAACAGTGAATGTTACTTTGAGCTCATGAATGTCTTAGCATCAGACCTCTGGTCAGTTTAACATAGTGGATTATCATGACTGTGCTGTAATTATGTTTGGCTGTTTACAGGTATGTGGGGAGACTATTGCCCGTGGGGAACACAGATCACATATGGCATCTCACACGGCCCACAGACCCCTCCACTGTGCAGTGTGTGGCCGAGGCTTCCACCAGACAGAGGACCTCAAAAGACATATCAGGTATAATAATAATAGTAATAATAATTTTTATTTCAGCATGATACTGTATAGTGTTTGTACAGAGATGGGTGACGTTTAGTTGAGCATGCAGAAAGCCCATAGTTATGCAGAACATTTTGGGCAAGCTTAAGCCTAACTTAAGACTACAATGGAAATAACTAATTAATTGCTTAATTATAGGGACATTAAGGGTATACAGACAACAAATTTAGGAATTGCAAGGAGCAACTTTGAAGGTTAATATGGTGTTGTTGCCGAACTTAAATAAACATCACTGATGTGATGAGAAGGTTTTTCTACTTCCTGTATTGATTTATACATTGTAAGTATAATGCACACTGCATTAACTAGCTATAGTATTACTAAAAATATTATAATTTTTTTTATAAAGTAGCCTAAACTTGTTTAATCCACCATAGTTATTTGCAACTTGACTTTTTTTGACATATATGTATAGGTACCATCCGACTTACGACCAAGCTTGGTTTCGACCAACCGGCCGTAAGTCAAAATGGACATAAGTCGAACCTTACTACTGAATATCAACATCACACTCTTGTAATGATTTTATTTTGTTTTATTTTGGTATTTCTTTTTTTACTTTACTTTTTATGCTGTTAGTATTGTATTTTATACTGTAAGGTTTAGAATAAACACTGTGTACAACAGAAACAGTTGTTTATATCTCGGAAATATGGCATACAAAACATGGTCATAAGTCGGATGGTAGGTGTAATTATCTTGAGTAAATTATTACGTATTTTTATTATAATCATAAACCAAGCACTAAACCTATAAGGGTCATACAGCACTGTATCTTGAGTAAAGATGTACATTACAGCATTATCTGGTTATTATTATTATTATTATTATAATCAAAAAGAAGTGCTAAGCCACAAGGGCTATACAGCGCTGCAGGGTAGGAAGGAAGCAAGGGTATTGGGCGGCAGAAGGGAGGAGGGATGATCAGTAGGTTACAGAAAACAGTGGGGGCAGGGGATAGTATGGGGGTAGAGGTAGCAAGAGGTTGAGGTAGAAAGGGCTGAAGGTATCAGAATTTATGAAGTAGGTCAGTTGTTGTCAAAAAGTCAATGAGAGAGTCCGGATGAAAGGTGGGTCCCATCAGTGAGAAGGGAAGGTAAAGAGAGAGCAGCGGAGCAAGTGGATACGGGCTGCTGTGTAATGCAGCGAAGTACAAACAAATAGCTGATGGTACGGAATATCAGTGCATAGTAGAAGGGCACTTTCATTAAAGGTTCCATCAGGAAAAGGATCTGAAGAATACAATAAATTATAGCCTGAGATGGGAGAGATAACAGCAGAGTGTAATTTTGGTTCCTGTAAGCAAACACCAACAGGGGAAAACTGGGAGAGTAACATCTGAAGCTCACCCCGATTACCCCTGAGGCCGCGTATATTCTACTGTAAATAGGCCATGATTGGCAATGATAAAGATACTTGAAATCCGCAGGTAAGGGTTCCTACGGACTAGAGGGGTTAGAAAAGTCCACATGCGGAGGCAGCGGAAAACGTTCAAGCAGCGAAGGAAAGGTGCGCTGCGAAGAAAGGAGTTGCGCGGATGGAGGAGAGGAGAGAGAAGGAACAGAGGGTGGATCAGTGTCCATTGATGGTTTGGTCTCTGCAATATATTCGGAGATTGCTTCAAGTGTTTCGGAATTCAGAGACGTCGTATGGGAGACAATACTGGAGAGGTAGGGGAGGATGAGTAAAGATTGGAACTGTAATGGACTGTACCAAGGTAGGGGGGGGGCGAAAGGGTGGAGGGAACTGGAGAAGAAGCGTGGAAGGGGACAGAAGAGGCAGAAACCTGGGAGGTGGCAGAAGAGGAAGAAACTTGGGAGGGAACAGGGGAGGTAGGTATAGTATGAGGAGGAGGGTGAACCTCTACACTTGTTACAGAGCCAGTGAGAGGGGAAGAACCCAGTACAGAGACAGGGAAGGTAAAATGAGGAGGTGGAAGAAGGGAAGGAGGGGTTAAAGGACCTTTTTTTGACTTCTGAGAAGTAGAGGGACGATTGGGAGGAGGTGTCGTACGAGGTCTCGTCGATACTGAGGCTTGTGAGGGAGAACACGAAGAAGCAAAAACAGACTGAGGCGTTGAAGTAGGGACGTCTGAGCCTAGGACAGCAAAAGAATTAGATACAGGAGTGACTATGGGAGAGGTAACCAGAGAGGAGGCTGCAGAAGATGAGACCCCAGAAGTGGGGCAACGTTTTGAAACACGGGAATAAGAAACATGAGGTAGTCTCCCTTGGAGGCGGAGATGAGAAACTGCCATGGCATAAGGGAGACCTTCTGCTTCTTTGAGGTAACGGATTTCTTGCTCATTTAAGTAGACTTGGCAACTGTTACAAAAAGCGTGATTCTAAAAGCTTAGAGATCTCCAGTGAATACTAGAAAGGACTGCCCTTCTAGCATCCAGCCTGTTACTGGGTTTTCGTAACAAGTAATCAGTATCCTTGTCCAATTATCCATTAGAATTCAGTATGATTCAATAGTGCTTCAGGATTACAACTAGGTAGGCTACTAACTAGAGAAATTAAAATTTAATTTATTAAGTCTAGAGGTATATTGTCAAATTAAATTAAATTAAATTAATCACAGTAATCAAAATAATATCACTTCTCTCGAGTACAATATTATTGTGCTGAAAGCACATATCACATTTATAATTCTTAAGTACCGTCTGGTACATTAACATTTAATAAGATATTACAAATATGTACAAGTAATTTTGTGTTGTATGTGTGTAAGTGCTCTAAGTAGTTCGCTATGTCTCACGACTCGACTAGACTTAAACAAGTGACTGACAAAGTCCTCAAATAAACTAACTTCTTAAAAAAAACTGGCAATCGGAAACAAGTGTCTTGAACAATAAAACGACTGATAAACCGAACAAATAAAAAAGCAAATGCAAACAAACAGGAACAAGGGGATAATAAAAAAGACAGCTAGTAAAGGGGAAAACAGCAGATCCTCCCCAAAAGTCCAAAAAAAACCCCCTACTCGGGAAAAATTTTAGCAAAAGAAAATCCCCGACTGTGATAATACACAGATTCCAGGGAAAAAAGTTAGGGCAAACTATAGCTCCGGACCTGAGTTTTTTCTCAGAGTGGCAAAAACGACACCAAACCCCATACAAAAGGCGAAAATCCCCCTAAGCCCATCCCAAAGTTCTGGAACAGATCACCAGAACAACAAAAAAAATGGGAAAAAGACGTCTGTCCCCAAACCCCCAAATGAAATCCCAAAACCCAAAGGGAAAACTTCAGGGGAGGGGAGGGCAAACCCCCCCCCCCCCCATCACCCATAGCTCCGGGGGTCGCGCAGCTCAGAAAAAAGAAAACCGCAGTCTAACACCAAAAAGCGAAAATTTCAGAAATTTGACAATAAAGACTTGAAAATGAGGGCCCCATTATATGTTTCATCCACCTAACCAAAGGGAAACTAAGTCAAATAAAAATATAAAGCAATCATTTACGATTTTGCTATTTTGCCCAAAAATTTTAAAACAATATAAAATTATATGAAAAAAAAAATTATATATATACATAATAATCATTGAAACCCCTTTTCGGTTCAACACCCCCCCGAACACGACAAAGGGTTGCACTAGGAGTTGCTTTAATGTTTTTCACTTCGTTACCATTCTTACAACAGTTTAATTAAAAAAAAAAGAGTCAATCTTGTACAACACTTCTATAATTTCCACGTATTACAATAAGATATGCCCCTAGTACTGGGGCAGTACACAGTAACTTCTCCACAATCGGGTTATGTAATCATGCAAGACAGAATGCAACTAGCCTGACTAATAGAGGAAAGCATTCCACTTTTAAAGTAGGGGGTTGGGGAAAAAAGCATGCAGTAGGGGACATCGGGTATGAAACAGCTTAAGGTGTGTAGTGAAGGGGGGGGGGTCTGCGGCAGGACATTTCCTCACGCAGTACATCGCCCCCCCACCTACCCACTCAACACTCAACTGTCTCCTCACACACACATTCGTAATATAAAAATAAAAAAAATTAGACATGAGTAATAAAATTAAATGGGCTGGGGGATTAAGTTATCTACGAATTTGACATAGCAGAAAAAAAGGGTATTTGGGCATAAAATTACGTTATTTAAATGTAACTGATAATTTTAAGGACGGACAGAGCGTCAGCAATTACTTAAAATGACCCTTTTTGTGTTTTATACTAAAAAATAATTTTGGATTCTGAGTGCCCACCCATGATCCTACATTCTTCCTTCATAGTGTTAATATAAGTGAGGGGTTTAGGGCTAAAAAAAACGTTTTTTTTAAATGGGGAAAGTCCCCAAATACACGTCAAAATTTCCAAGGACACCAAAAGCTAGAGCCTCTTTCCAATAGTGGCATAATTTTTTCTGGTGTCATTTAAGTTTAGATGATAGAAACTATAGGATGGGAATATCATGGATGTTGACTGTTGGAGCACACAGCACCCACTGATAGCCACCGCATCTATATGTAAACAGAAGGGAAAATTTGAAATTAGGATTTTTTCAACACGAGAAAGGGGATAGAAAGCCTTAAACCCTTTTGAACGAGCTGAACAATCTCTAGTCCAGATGAACTAACTTTTCTACTAGTAACTCAGTAAGAGGAGCTGCATCTGAAAAATTTTGGGACAAAACCTGCGATAAATCCTGCCATCCCGGGAAAACCTGTACCCCCCCTATCCTGGGGCACGGGAAATTCAGAAATTGCCAAAAACCTTAGCCTCAATAGGACAACCTCCCTTGGCCGATACAAAACCCTAGTAAGAATCTTGGCTTGCCCAAAAACTACATTTACTAATTTTAAACAGTGAAGTTGTTGCGCCATCTCTCAAACAATGCTCAACGTCAATCTGTTCCCATCGTCACTGACACCACAAGTCGTCAAGGTGGGCTTCTACTCCTTCTAATTGTGGCCAACTTGTTCATTATACGTTGGAATAAAGAAGCCGGTTACA